GAAAGCCCACGTTAGCTGCGCGGCCGTCTGATCTCCAGCGGCTACAACAACAACCAACGAAAATCAACAGCAACCAACAAACACCAGCAGCAACAACAACAACAGCAGCAACAGCAACAGCAACAGCAACAGCAACCAACAGCAGCAACACAAACACCAGCATCAACACAAGCACCACCACAGCCCACCACCACCACCACCACCACCACCACCACCACCACCACCACTACCACCAACCCCAGCACCGCCAACCCCAGCAGCAGCAACACAACAGCAACATCAGCCGCAAGTTGTCATCGTCATGTTCGTCTTCAGCCGGTAAAAACGCCTCGAAACGCGGACCACAACACGGCACTGCGACCATGCTCATGCGAGGAATTCTTATGGTGATGCTGGTGAGCTGGTGATGAGGAGAATTCGTCGCACAGTACCCATAGGAACAGTGCAGATCCCTCCAACCCTCAAAATCAATGCCTACACAGGTCAATGCCTACACGGACTCAGGATATCACAAAACCATGGATAGTTAGATTGCAGGGGGGTGCTCTTCATACGCAACACATGGTACAACATGCATGATTTATCCCTGTGAAGGCATGGCTGGCAGACATCATTCCAAGGCATGGGGCTCACGATTTCGGATTTCGGAGATACTAGGGTAGACGGTTCGGAGCTAAGGATGCAAGATTTCAGGTCTTTTCTAGTTCCATGCCTGTATCACAACAGTTGGATCAGAAGCCCTGTGAGATGACAGGGCTATGCCACAAAGTAGCAAGAACGACTACAGAATTAACCCTGAATTAAACGCACGAAACTGAGGATATCTTCGAGGGATGCTTGATAACACTCCCACTGCAGCTGAGCTAAGCGTGCTTCGTCACACTTGCGCCCGTGCGCAACCCCTGCTCGATGTAATTGCAATGCTTCAACGGGACTGCCTTGCCTTCGTGGCTGATGCTGCGGATCTCATCTTGGCATGGATCTGGCCTGCAGTTCACCATGAACACAGCCAGCTCTTGCGAGATGTGTGAGAGGCCGGTCGCCATGTTGCTACTCCGTTGCTGCGGGTCATGTTGCCAGGTGCATTTTGGTCAAAGCTTGATGCTTTAGGGGATCTTTAAAGGACACAGTAGCCCCGGCACTTTCTGCACCGCAACCCAAGGCCCGATCAAGCAGTCCGAAGTATTCGCGAGCAGGTCGGAGGCCAAGCAAGAGATGTTGACCTGAGCCGAAGTTGAAGGCTTTTGCTTGGGTGGTTGCCTTGCATTACGGGGTAGTGGTTCTGTTGGTTCATGTAGCAGCAACATCGTCGGCCTGCTGAGAACCAGCCGAATCTCCGGGCATCAACTTGCAACTTCCAAGGTCCAAGCGGTTCCGCTGTAGTTCGCCACGAAGTCATTGCATGGTAGGAAATAGCCCCGGCCGGTGGCCAAGACCTACTCGGGCAACGTCCGAAGGTTGTCCGTATCAGCTTGCGGAGGTGGTGCCACTTCAGTGTCACTGGGCGCCCCTGCTACCTAACTCGCAAACCCGTGCCCCACGTTGCCTCCGGAGCGATGACGTCGTGAACCTTTCCTCCCAGCGTTGCCTGTCTACTCAACTGCACCAAAGACCCTACCACAAACACACTGCTTAGCACCTCAAAGCAATGCAGGCTCGGCCTGTGCTGGACGAGATGGTAGGCAAACGGAGTAGCACGAGTGCCTTGGAGTTGCGATGTTCCGGCCTCTTTAAGGCTGGTCTAGGCTCTCTGATCTCTCTCCATTTAAAGCTTCTCGGCTGTGCTTCGAACGGAAACATGTCGGTTTGTCACACCAAGTCCGGCACGTCAACTGGAAGTCGCCGTAGTCACACATTATTTGCACATCGCCTTGGCAAAAACAGCAGCCAGGGTCACAAGCTACGGAAACGCTTTAAATTTAAACCTACAGACATGTCTGCTACTGCTTCTGTTTGCTTGTGCATTGCACACGAATAGCGGCTGACTGGCGGGCACGCACATCTACCGTGCGTGTGTGTGTGTGTGTATATATATATATACACGCTGATTGGCTTCCGTCCACCCATCTTCAGACCACAGTCTTACTGCAAACCAGGCACAGGAAACATCAGCACATTATGTGGTTTCGATAGTCGCAGCTACACACGCGAAACTTGACAATCGTTTCCTGAGCATTTGGGAGCATGCTTACATACAGGAATAATTGCATAAATACCTGAGTAAATAAAAAAAGTACATATTTTCTATATATATACACACACATACACACACAGAGACACATGCGCGCACACACATGTTTATATAGAGATATATATGTATATATGTATGCATATATATATATATATATTTACACATATATAATTACACCTACACCTACACCCATACATAGATGTACCATGTATGTATGTGTATGTATGTGTTTCTATTATCTACACATATTCATAAAGTAAAGTATGGTGCATATTACATACATACGCGTGTACCTATCTTCTTCTGCTGTGTCTACTGTGTCTACATGTATGCACACGCCGTCTAGTACACTGCCCGACATGTCAGATTACCGATGTTCTCCGTTTCGGCAGGTTGTAACCTGACTCGCATCTCAAACCCATCCAACCACCCTCAAGCTCTGTGCCAAGGTCGCAGCGTCCCCAACCCCAACAGCCTCGTATCCCCTTACCCTGCACCCGAGACCCACCAACTGTTCTGAGACATTGGGCGGCGGACCTCGAAGGACCTGCATGATCACTGCGCGATCGTGGCTGCTTGGATTAGAGTTCTTCGCCAAGGGGAGATGGCTCAGGAGTCGAGTCTAGCAGCAGCAGTCGAAACAAACCCCCCACCAAAGACGTTGCCTCACTGACGTTCTCGCAAGTGACGTTGATGGCTTGCATGTGCGCCATGTCGGAAGACCTGATGTGGCGGACATGGCCCAATAGCAGAGGAGGACACGCACAATAAAACCTATCACATCTATCCGCCTGCCTTGGGTAAGCATACACTCTCGGGCTTGCTCATGCAGGGAGGAGGAAAGCAAACATCTGCTGGTGAAATCGTGAGACATCATCGTCGCAGAGCATGCCGCTCCGTGCGGGGGTAAACTGACCTGCTTAGTGTAGGCAGATGTCCGAGAGCCAGACAGAACGGATCCGTTCATGTACTGGGACTGCACGAGCAGCGCTTCACCTGACAGATGGAAGAAGTTGCCCTCAAAGACTACTGCAGGGTGTGTGAACTCAAGCCTCGGATCGTCACTTAAGACTTGCATTAAATCCTAGATCTCAAAGAATCTTCGGCACTCTTAAGCACTGCACCTCGACAGCTGCAAGAAGTACTGCAATCAAATGTTCATGAGCGATGATGGTGCTTGGAATAGGCATGCCAGAATCTTCAGGCCCTCAGTCTCAACCTGTGTCCCAGGGCAAACAAGCTGGCAAGTAGAGGAGAGAGAGAGAGAGGGAGAGAGAGAGAGAGAGAGAAAGAGAGAGGCAGGCAGGCATGCTGGCAGACAGCCAGAGCCAAACAAACACACACACATACACACACACAAGCGCGCGGGGAGAGAGAGAGGGAGAGAGAGGAGAGTGGGAGAGGCACAGATTCAGACAAACAAACACAAACACATCACATGCTTGCTATAGCGTTGAAAGCCCATATGGTCAGCACTACCCTGCTAGTCATTGGATGCACTGGCCTCCCACGCAAGAACGTGGCTCACAGCCGCTATCCATGCCTGCTGCGCTGTGGCTGCGCCAGTTCGGGGTGTTAAGCTCTCGGGGGCAGTTTCAAGTTTCAAGCTTTTGCAGTTCAGCCAAACAAAAAACTGTTGGCTCAGGATCTTTGTTATGTGACCAGGCCCTATCACCCAAATCGGAGGTTCCAAAACACTTTGTCTCCACCGATCCCACACCATCGACACCAATCATCTCAGTGCTGAGAGCCGCGCTGGCATAGCTTCCACGTCGCCCACAGGTCACGGTGATCTCCCCGACCTCAGCAGAGAAAGAACTCCTTCAGGTTCGAGCCGATGGTTTACATCATAGGACTAAGAGGGTGTATTGCCGACACTAGTGTTCAGATACAAGTTGTATCAGCATCAGGGCTGGATGGGAGATCATGCTCGGATGCTTCGAGCGACGCGGACTGGAAGCATCTTGACTTACTTGTGTAGGCACAGGCAGCATGGTACTATGATCACGATCATCAGCATCATCAGCACCACAGGCAGATTCATTGCTGTGACACTACCGTTGCCAGTGCCGCATTACATGTTCGTATGTCTTATGTCAGATGCTCCTACCACAAGATCCACGGCCAAAGCCCTCACGACCAAATCCTGCACCGCTTTACTTCATCTTGGTCTTCTGCCCGATGCCCATTTTCTGCAGTCGCCCTCTGGGCTCCACCTCCCCAACTCCCTCCTCCCTCCAAGAAAGCACCATGAGTCACGAGAGAAACGGCCGGGCGCCCTGCATACTTCCGCTGCGTCTGTGAGCCGCAGTCCTTAAGAGCTCGAAGAGGCAGCTCTAGTGAAACTATTGCGACAGTCTTACTTTTGTTATTGCTCTGAGCTGTTGTTCTGGTGCTCTTCTCCTTCCTGTCTCGAGGTTTCTGGAAGCCTGGGGGAGGTCGGGAGTCGAGCCACTAGCAAGGCTGCCGGTGCGAAGAACCCTCCAAGCACCGAGCGCTACGAGTAAGGAAGCTCCTGCCGACTTTAGGGACTCACCAACTCCTCAGCCTGCTGCGACTTGGAACGTCTCGTCCTTGGACACACCCGCAACGGGGCGGAGATCCTGAGCGTGGGCACATGCGCTTCAGTAACTCCCTCATGTTTCAGATCTCGTGGCGGGAGCGGTTTGAGGCAGGCGCATCTCCCTGACTCTACCAAGTCCAAACCCACACACGCACTGCGAAGTTGGGCCAAGTGATGCTGCAACTACCAGAAGTAAGACCGGCAACACCCATGAATAAGTTACTAACTCAGGCCGGTCAGGGAGGTACCAGGAGCTCCAGCTTGATGGAATCAAAAAGGGCGCAGGGAGCCGGTGGATCTCCAATGACGCTTCGGACGCAGCTTGCATGCGCCGCTGCGTAGCTGCATGAACACATGTCTTGCATTATAAAGACAATCTAAAGTGTTCAATAATTTTTGAAGACCTACAGTATATGTGCTAGACATGTTTCCATCCGGAACTTGTCCACCAAATTGCGAGGAAGGACGTGCGATGCGCAAAAATGATCTGAGACGCACACCACCGTGTAATTGCCCACAGTCAGGTTGCCCCCAGGGCCTTGACAAGTGACAAGTGCCCTGGCTCGCGGAAGCCACGGAGCACCAGTGCAACTCAGGAGGCCCCTTGAGACAGAGCTACTAGCTACACAGGCGAGCCCTTGGGGGGAAGCCTACTTGAAAGCACCAGAAATCGTCCGAGTTCAAGCGCTGAATTCCTCAGAATATGTAAACTCATGGAGGCCTGATGGCTGGCATCCAAGTTCCACCAGGATGCAGCTGCTGTTGTCGGCGCCTCGCGACGCCCCAGTGGCACACGCAATTGCCCCAAAGCTTTAGCTTCAGGACATTCCAGCTTGGGTTAACTATAGGGCATGAACACCGTATAAAGCCCTAGTCTAGAGTCGAATTGAATGTAGTAGATCTTTCTGTGATGTTGGGTTTTGGAGGCAGCTGCATGAGCCATTCTGAGCAGCAAGCGCACGTGGCCGCGGTAGCAGCTCCTGACAGTCGGAAGGTCAGGCATTTAGCCGACAGGCGCAACAAACGTCGTATCGGTAGCCGAGTTGCATCTGCATGTCGCCAATGTAGTCCCAGTTAATGGGCTCGCATGGCACCTCAAACCCAACATGAATTTAGGCCAAATGCTGCAGGCGGAGAAACACTCTTTCCTGCCACAACATGGAAACACGCGCAAATCAGTTGAGTTCTCTGACTATAATCAACAAATCACTTTAATGAATGCTTTGGCTAAGGAGATTGCCATTACCACCAATTATCATATTTTTTATATTATTTTAATTACAATAAGATGTTCGGAACCCTCGGCAGGCTCTAGGTCTCCAGCCGTCCAGGTCGCGCCGTGCAGGACCTGAGAAGGGATGTTTCCTTCGACAGGCTGCCAAACCCAGGGTGTCAGGGCAAAGATCTTCGCCAACTTGCTATGGAGAGCATCATACATCATACGACATGTCACGTTGCAGCTCAATGGAATTAGCTCTCATATCCAAAAGGAAGGAGAAGACCATGCACTTCATACACAGACACGAAGAGACGGAGACTGAACTTTCACCACTACCAGAGGCCACTCCTGAAATCCCTTGGCTTGTATACTGTAAACTTGTATAATACGGATACCTGACTAAGATTCAACATTTTTGCCAAGGGTAAGGACAGTGAGGTATGCTTTGTTCCAGCCCGGGGCGGGCGCCGGCTTTGGTCTCGGATTCAGGCGGATTCTATTTGCTGCAAGACTGCCAGGGTCTTGCTGTCGTGGATTACCACCAGCACAGCCGGGCACTACGAGCGAAACTTGACACTAGTGCACTTAGACTATCCTGCACCATGCTGTACTACTGCGAGTCCCTGAATCCCACGCCGCGCTCTTCGCGCATTGCTCTGGGGCCCCAGCCCCCGGGGAGTACTGCTGGGAGGTCGTTCCACCCAGCTCAGCCTGCCGGGGACCGATCGGCTTTCAGGAGGCTCCGAAGTTTTACGGCTGGGACCTACCCGACAAAAGCATTCTCACTACGGCACCTTTATCCCTTAATCCTTGCACTCTTGGCGCTGCGGTGTTGTTCCACGGGACTACTCCACATCCAAGCCGCAAATGGACCAAGCCTCGATGTACGAGCTGCTGGTGCAAGGGTTCTCGACACCTGAGCCACTTTCTCGCTGGCACCGATGAAAGAGCACGTGGGTTTTGTTTGAGCTTTGTTCTATGCTCCTGGTTATCGTCCAAAATGTGTCCACAAGAAGCTCTAAGGCCGAAACAGGTCGATGTGACCCCGGTGATGTTGCCGAAAGCGCATGTTGCCTTCGAGCGCTCAGCTTCGAAACACTCTCTCACTTTCCATAGTCAAGAGCCTGAAAGCTTGCGCTCAAAGACCCCGCTGGCTGGCATGCAGCATCGAAACATCCAAAGTCCAAGCAGCGGCAAGCCCCGCCTTTGCGGATCACACTTTGCATCATCATCAGCATCATCATCACCAGCATCACCATCATCATCAGTATGACCATGACGCAGCTGCAGCGACCCCATGAAGCAGAAACTACATGAACATAATGCTAAATGTGGGACTTCGCAAAGGTGGATGTGCATGCACAACACCAGTTGTGCATATGTAAAAAACCATGTGTACAAAATGCATATACATATATACATACATATATATATATATATATATATATATGTATGTCTGTATGTATGTTTGCATGCATGTATGCCTAGTGTGTCGTATGCTCATCACTGACATACCCTGTGGCTCCAGATGCTTGACTTAAACTCAAGTTCTGCAGTCTGGCAAGCTTCAGCCACATTCAACCACTACGTGAGGGCAAGTGCGCGCCTCGAACGTGCCATGGAAGTCAGGGTTCACGGCGGCACAGTCGAAGCTTGCAACGCCCAAGTGTTCCATGAAGGCCTGAGATGCCCGTCTCGCAAATCTCTAGTAATCTAGGAAAGACCATCTCAGCTGGGTTGGGCAATCCCCCCTAAAGAGCCCGAAAACTAATGGGAATGATCAGTTTCCGGATTCTTTCCAGGCCACGGCGAATCACAGATCTCCCTTGATTGATAGCGTTACTTGATGTTACTTCTGCTGCTGCTGCTGCTGCTGCTGCTGCGGCAGGTACGCGCGCTGCCTCTTCCGGTGTGCTCTCCTCTTTCTCTTCCTGAGCCCTCACCCTACTGCTGCAGCAGAGATTGTTACAGTCAGGTGTTGGCACGACCGCCCGCACAAGCACTGTAGCCACGACAACTACTACGTACTACCTCTCTTCTAACCACGACCACAACAAGAGCGGCAACCGCCCTGAGAACCGCAACCACCGGCACCACTACTGCTATCAGGCGACGACTACGCACGAGAGTAAAAAAAGCTACGACGAAGAACACCAACATTTGCAGTACCCAGTTCATAATAGCTTGTGGCGATAATGCTGGGCACGGCGATTGAAGCTTCGGTGGAACGATCGATTTTTGAGGCAATGGCAACAGCCACGGCACATACTGAATACTGGCTAATTACTGGGACCGGGAGCACTGCCACCAAAGCCAGTAAAAGCCATAGAATGAGTCGTCTGAATCCTGAGGAAGGACTCTTAAGATCCTACAAAATCCTGCTGGGCGCCCGGCGGAAGCCGCAAGCTCTGCGGTGGCGCCGCCCAGCGCGAAGTCGGCCATGGTGCCCGCAGCACAAGGCTTTGGCCTGGCGTCACAGTATGGTACGATAATATAGGGGCCTCAACAATTTAGAATAGGGTTTTGGGGGGATCTTATATTATATAATTAGAATAAGGAGCCCCCCAAAATAGTGTAGGTAATTATTTAGGCTCCTATATTAGCTAAGAGCGGTAAAGATACGCAGCAATAACAGAAATAACAATGACAATTATTGTAGCTTTGTAGTAATGTAGTTTCGTAAAGTAGCCTCATAGTAGCATTCACTGGCTGAAGATACAAGGGCTTTGTATTGACTGTTGCTGTCACAACAACTATTGCCATGACGACTTACGGCTTGGAGTGAGTGTTTAGGCTTATACAGAGTGCGGAGTGTATGGAGTCTTTTACTGTTGCGTTGCTGATAGTCAAAGACACAATCGCTGAGGCTGAAAGAATGAAATGACCGGCACAAAGTGCGCAACGCGTACTCAGAACGAAGCTTCTCGTTTGATGATCACAAGTGCAGTGAAGATTTGGAATTGCGACTTAGGAAGGCAAGCACAGTGTCATCTCCGAACCTAAATCTAGAAAGACGTTTCTGGCCCCAAGTTCCTCCGCAACCAGAATCCTAACTCCTAAGTCGATAAACAGAGCCCTATAGATTCCGAAACCCTGGATCCTGATCCGTAGAGGCTGCTTCTAGAGCCACACCAAATCTAAAACCCCTGGGGCCCTAGCATCTTAAACTCCGGATCATCAAGCCTATAAGCCCCAAACCCTGAGTCACACCCACAACTACAGAAAGAAAAAGCAATTCAACTAACAACATCCATATTTCTAACACATATACAGACAGTATACATATGCCCCCGAATCCCAGCGGTAACCCGGTAGAAACAGAATCCTCAAGGCCAAGCCAAGCTCCGGGCTCACAGCCACTTCGATCCACCAGAAGCTCTCCGAGGTGGCAGGTGGCGTTCACAGACTCAGAGCAGGGCTTAGGGCGCTTGTTGTACTTGGAGATGGCAGGGTTTCCAAATTGTAGGGCTTATTCAAGGTTTGGACTTGGGGCGTGCAGGCCTAATTAAGTCTTCGACAGTATAGACCTTGGGGCCAGGAGCCTTTAGGGCCCGGGATCTCAGGTTCAAGTTTCAATGCTCAATTTTGGATAGTTTGGGTTTTGGAAGAAGGCTCCGAGCTGGGCGAACGAGAGCCCGGGATTTGCTGATGGCGTGGTGGCTCATGGTGACATGTGGTGACATATGAGATATGCTCCGGTCGGTCCCGTGTGCCCTTACGCAAATTTGAACGCACCGTGAAGCCGGCATGAAGGAATGCAGTACAACAGTACAGCTGCCTCTTTGAAGTGTACTTCGCAGGTAGCCGCCTTGCTGGCCCTAAATCGCTCAGGCTGTGCAGTCGCCTCACCGAAAGCCCGCAACCGAGGCCCAGGCTCCAATAAAGTTGGGGTTTACGGAGGCGCAGCTGCCCCAAACGAAGCTGCCACCGTGAGACACGGCCTGTGGCGGTGTAGAGCATAGGGTTTGGCAACAACGATGCTTTTTCAATACCGACATCCTGCATAAGTCATGTGGGCATCCACTTTAGAAATACAGAAATGCTGCAAATATCTGCACACCATGGTGACTGCCGACTTCCTGTTGCTTCCTTCGATGCCGAAACCCAAAACACAACATGTTTTAGTGCCCCTGCTTCTTGCTGTCATCGAGACACTAAACTGGAATTCACAAGAAGAGCCTGCGATGTAGTGGCTTGTGCCGCAGTGCCACCCACGCTGAACTGGCAGACAGCAGGATGGGTCTGGGATGGAGTACAAGGAGTCCGTCCCAACTAGCAGGGGCCAGCATGTACCGTTTCGCCTCATTTTCCATGTCGGGCCGAGCTTGCCTTCTTAAGGTTGCACTGATGAGACTGGCACTAGACTTTCCGCTTTCGCTGAAAGCCATGAGCTTCGTCGCAAGATGCTCGGCAACTCAGGTCATGGGTCTCGGCAACAGGTGGCTGCACAGCGCCGACGGGAGGATCATGCTCGTGGAATCACTTGTTGGTCTCTTTGGCTCATAGACTAGTGAGCGGAGTAGTAGCACTTTGCAAATTGGCAGAACCATGGAACTTCGAAGTCTGTCCGAGACCCTTGACATCCATGTGCCTGAGCTGGAGCTGTAGATGCGTCGCAGCCACGCCTAAGTTCAACCAAAACAGACTCGGCACATCCTGAGCTGGAACAGGCCACCAGGATTCTTCGGTTCCGTCACTCGTTGCCGCCGTGCGGCTCCGTGCACGTTGTCAGATCCGGATGCAAAACACCTGCACTGAAAGGCTTCCGGGCCGGGGTTGTGCAGTTCGGAAAATGCGTGCTTTTGCACTCAGAGCTGCGTGAGGAACGCAGTCCTGCTTGGACATGTCTGTGTCTGTGCGTAGACAGACAGACAGACAGACAGACAGACAGACAGACAGACAGACAGACAGACAGACAGACGCACACA